GCAATCATGTCGTCTTCCACCACCTCCTGCCGAGAGGCGCCGTCTTTTTTCTCACCGGCCATCTTTATTTAAACTTCTCCAAAACCCAATTGGGCCCGGACCGAACCCAACCCAACCCAGCCCCACTTTGGGTTGTATCCGGACCCGCCCAAATGAGGGTCGGTCCGAGGGTCCTTGAGGGTGACCCGCGGGTCACAGCCGGTAGTGTTCCAGGGCTGTAGGCGGTTAAGCGGCGGCTCGACGTCCAAAGTTACGTATGGAAAGACGGCCGTTTTTAGAAAGCGGTCATTTTCGGCGTCAATTCCACAGGTCCTCATATTCTACGTGTAAACATTGGAATGTACGTTGAATTTTATTGCCCTAACTCAGTACTCATGACTTGATAAAGTCGAGCAAATCCTTGTTAACTTCATCAACATTGATGTTGTGAATTGCGTGAGATCCCCCCTTATAAATCTTGAGCTTGCTTTGAGGCAAAAGCTTTGCCGACTTGAGTCCAGCAGCCTCAATAGGAACAATCTGATCGTCATCGCCGTGAAGAACTAGGACTGGGATGTTGATCTTTTTAAGATCTTCCGTGAAATCGGTCTCCGAGAAATCCTTGATAGAGTCATAAGCCGACTTGAAACTAGTATTCATTCCCTGCTGCCACCAACTCCGGATCTGTCCCTCGCTCTTCTGCACACCAGGTCGGTTAAATCCAAAGAACGGTCCACTGGGGACATCTAGGAAGAATTGTGCACGGTCTTTGTGCATGGCCTGTCGGAACGAATCGAAAACTGACTTGTCGAGCCCCTCGGCGTTGGCACTAGTCTTCAGCATAAGAGGAGGCACGGCACCGACAAGAACGGCCTTTTTGAAGCGATTCGTGCCATGCTTTCCGAGGTAGTGAGTGACTTCTCCTCCTCCATGGGAGTGTCCAATCATGACTGCGTCTTTGATCTTAAGATGCGCAAATAACTCTTCAAGGTCATCGACGAAGGTATCCATGTTGTTTCCGTGCCAAGTCTGAGTGGATCGTCCATGGCCACGCCGATCGTGTGCGATGACACGGTAGCCGTGGTCAGCCAAGTATACCATTTGGTTTTCCCAGTTGTCGCTGCTTAAGGGCCAGCCGTGGGAAAAGGTGATGATGGCGCCATTGCGGTTGCCCCAATCCTTGTAGAAGAGCTCGGCTCCATCGCGGAGTTTGAGGTATGGCATGATGATTTAGTTGATGGCAGTTGATAATCCTGTAATGTGGTTGATATGGCCTTTAAATCAATTTCTAGAAACTGATGGTATGTTGAAGTCACCATATTAGGTCAACTGCGTCATGACTCAGGGTTTGGCCAAGTCATAGTGTTTGACGGCAAGGATATCAAACATGTCCCAAACCGGAACAATGACACAGACTGAAGCTGTAGAGAAAGATCTAGCCCACAGACCAAGTCTTAGATATTGGGTGTGGGTGACGTGGAGTGACCGAGGCGGCTACGTTTGGAGTTTAAAACCATAACAGTCGATCACATATCACGTATGAGACACATGAACACAGTAGCATCCATAGAAACATGAACGCATCTGCTAATTTTATATTCTAATCAATATATACAACATAAATCAACATAGAGAACAAATCTAAGTCTCCTTAAACTCATACCGCCCCTCACGATCTTGCACCTCAACCTCAATACGACCCTCCTCAATCTCCTTCCCATCAACCTCAATAGAAGCCCTCATAACATCACCGGCCTGAACCTGCCCAACACCCTTCGGCGTGCCAGTCAGAACAATATCACCCTTCTCAAGGGTCATCACGCGCGAGATCTGAGCCAGCTGCTTCGGGATACGGTGCAGCATCAGGCTAGTCGAGTCAGCCTGGCGCTCAACCTGGCCGACCTTCAAGCGCAGAAATGCGTCGTGCGGGTTGGGAATGCGCGACTTGGCGATTTCCTGTGAAATCGGACAGAAGGTGTCGAAGCCCTTGGCGATGGACCAGGGGAGACCCTTCTTCTTTGCTTCGTCTTGGACGTTGCGGGCTGTCATGTCGATGGCGAGGATGTAGCCTATGGGTGAAGAAGCCGTTAACGATTTGCTGGTCTAACGCAATGTCTCTGCTCGTGTCCCGGTCATTGCTATCGTGCACGCCGTTCAGAGGCTGCGGTTGTACTCACTCTGAATCGCGTCCAGTGCGCCCTGCTCATCATTCGGATCGAGATCCCGCACGGTCTTGCCAATGATCAGACCCAGTTCGACTTCATAGTGGAGGCTGACGCCCTTGGGACGGAGGATGGGTCCGGAGCCCGGGAGGAGGATGGAGGATGAGGGCTTGAGGAAGAAGAAGGGTTGCTTGGGAGTTGCGCTGTTCAGCTCGGCGATGTGATCGCTGCAATAATCCAGACATGTTAGTATTTTGCCAGGGCAGTGTGCTGACGCCCAGCGCTGCTGTCGGAACTTCCGAGACTTGGCGCGGGGACACTCACGCATAGTTACGGCCGATACACATGATCTTGCGGCAATTGGCGCGGATGGAAGCCATTTTGTAGGGTATTGAGGTTGTGCGACTGGGAGAGGACTGCGATTGAGGAGGAGAGAAGTCGTCGGGGAGCTGGAGAGGAAGGGAGGTCAATTTCAGACGTCGGGTGTTCTCCGAGCGCAATGCGGAGAACTGTCATCGGCTTCCGCACCGACCGCTTGTATTTTTACCCAGCTCTATAGAACGCTCACGTTGGAATTAGTTTGTTTATTTGTAGTAGTTTTTTATGAAGAGGTTATTTTCAAATCCATTCATCAAGCTAGGATTTAAATTGGAGCTCAATAGGAAAAACCAATGCTACTAAAGCCGACAGCGACACTCCTACAATGTTGCCTACTCTAGGATGGACTTCATCTGAGGCTATTTATTTGACATAAATAACACCAGTATTTGCTACCTTACTGCCAGTCTGACCAACGTCTGACTAAATACCCTGTGTTACTGGCGCAAATGACTCAAGCCTTATGTCGGCTTGGTGCTCCGAAGATCGGAAGACGTGCCGAGCTGAAGTACGTATAGTGTCGAGTCCGCAGCTTGGACTTCCTGAGTGGGGCGTCATTCTCTGACATTATAGAAAGTTCATAGAGGAGAGAGACTCCTATTTCCGCAGCTTCTTGATTGTAGGGCCCATCTCTTCACCGGCATCGAGACACTTCTTCGTCTCCTCATCAATCTCCAATCGCTCCTGGCAGAGACGAACACACTCCTCAATGTAGCTGACAGGCACAGCCACAACACCATCCTGATCACCAAGGATATAGTCACCAGGGGTAATAGTAACCTTCTCATCAACCTCCACATTCTCATACTCAACCGGCACATCGAGCTCCGATGATCGGGTAAAGGTATTCGAACCAAGAATGCTCAAACCACGAGCAAAAAGCCCAATATTCATTTCGCGATGTTCAGCAATATCCCGGAAACGACCATCAATCACAACACCGGCCGCGCCGAGCTTCTTTGCTCGCGTGCTCATCAGACCGCCCCAGCATGCGCTGATGAGACCCTTTGGCTGGGAGATGAACACCACACTTCCCTTTGGGATTGCATCAACGAAGTGGTGAGGTGGGTTTGGTGAGGTTTTGTCCGATGCATGCACCATCCGGACTGTGTATGCTGGTCCGAATATCTTGGCGACGGTACCGCTTGAGCCTGGGCTGTACATTTTGAGACCGGAAAGATAGCCTCCATGACGGAGTCCCAGTTTCACGAGAGCATCTCCAATCTGCATAGGTGGGTTAATAACCATGTTCGTCCGGGGTGTGTAGTGGGAGGTGAGCTTACGTCGCAAGACGCGAACTTCCCCAAGGCTTGGATTGCCTTTGCGCTTGCAACCATATTTGAATTCCGGTAAGTTTATCGAGAGCGATGATTCCAGACAGGTCGATAAACTTATATCTCAGCCTAAACGCGTCTTCCGCTGCAAGAAGTGACAAGCAAAAAGCCGATGAGTTGCGGAGTGACCCGGACCCACCTGGCACGCTCCGGGACGCGATTTGCGACATTCATAGCTGAACGTGTATCTTGTAAAATAAATTTAGTATAGGAGTAATGCTCTAAGTGTTAATTAATCTATCGGGTCTCATATTTGAAACTTTTAAAACAACGATCGCTGTGGCCCTTGACCCTGAAAAGCCACTCTATACAACAGACCTTGCGTCTGCCAAGACAACATCCATATTGGTGGCAAGTCCATCGCAACTCGACCAACCCTCGTCAACAACTTGCCAAATAACCACATCATCATGCAAGTAGCAGAAATCTTATCAGACATAAATTCCCTCCGCGTCTGTGTAAGTGTTCCCGCCACTCTTCTGGGTTAGAGCCTCGATGAGGGGCTCCGCATGCCGACAAACGCGCGCAAGCTGTAACCCAGAGAAAGGAGCCACACAGAATGACAAATCTAATAACATCCTACAGGGCCACAATGAGGCACTCGCCTTAGTCAATGTGCATAAAAATATCGCAAGCTCAGAATCTGCCGAGGCTTCCAGCGCGTCAACTGATAAAGATGATCTCCGTCGTGCAAAGGAGCTGGTTGAGTTACATTACGAAGTCAAAGCACGGCACGCCAATGGCACAGTGGACGAGGAGTTGAGCCGTGCTCGCGAGGATGTCCGACGTGTTCTGAGAGAGTTATCGACTGTGTGACCGTGTTCTCTGGAAAGGTGTTTTGTGCTCGGGATTGCATTTCTTGTATGACCTCGACGACTGACTTTATGGATAACGATGGCTCTTTCAGGCTGGTCATATTATTATTATTATTATGTTGGTGTTAATCTGGAACTTTGTCATTTTTCGATTTCTGAATCCCCTGTCCTGCAACAATTATACTCAGGTCCCATATTTCAACGCGCGATTGAACCCCCCGAATGCTGCAATATCTTTCTTTGAATACTCTACAATGTGATCATGAGCAACAACTCTTCCTTCAGTCGCCTTGCAAAGATCCCCAATGGCCCTAGCCCGTGACTGGATCCCCTTATCTTTCAGGACTCGCAATAAAGCCGAAGAGAATTCCGACGCCCCTATCTTCGGTGCCACATTGCGACTCCCATGCATGCCAATTCCAAGCCACTCTACCCGCGACGGACAATCATACGTATCGAACCACTGTGGGAGAACAACCTGTGGAATGCCTCCTCTAGAAAATGGTAGTCAGCGCTATACTTTCTTGGTCAACTGTGAAACTAACAAAAACTTACTTGCACGCTTCAAAAAACGAGTTTGCCCCGCCGTGGTGCACATAGACAACTATATGCCCGCTTTCCAAGAGCGATATAATCTCCGGCTGGATCCACGAGACCACTCTCACTTTGTCAGAGTAAACCAGTGGTCCGAGAATGGCTTTAACTCGGGGCGAAGTTTCCCAATCATATCGCAGCTTCCATAGGACATGGATATCGGGGTATTTACTGAAGACCGTTTGGATAGCCCGTACCATTTGCATCGCATCGTTTTCTAGGGCTTGGACGTGGGACCCGAGACATATCAGAATAGTTGGTACTGTCAACCATGCGTTTAGGGAGGGGTCGTTTGCTGCTAGTGATGAATGAGGTCGGAGGATTGGTCCGCAGCTAATCACATTATCGGGGACATGTAGTGGGAAATCCATTGCTGGAAAGCAGGGCGATAGATGTAAATGCTCTGCGCAGTAGGGCAGCAGATGAGGAAATGGTGTCATGATCCCTGCTTTCTTGCGGCATTTCAAAAGCTCCCGCATTGGTTTGCCGAGGCGGACGATGATACCGAAGCAGAGGACCATGTATATGTTTGAGAGAATTAAGTGCCAAGGGAGTTGGAAAGGGTAGCCTGACCCCGTGCTAAACAAGAAAAGTCAGCTTTTCCTTGACTCATTTGAAATACGGCATGGTGGCACACAGAGGATATTTCCACAGAATCCCAAGCTTGGGTTGTACCATAATAACCACATCTTTCAATGGCACAGGCCAAAGAATGACGATTTTCATCTGCGCACTGCGAGCAGCGTCCAAGCCAAGATGCAAGAGCGGATCAACAACCACAACGACCGGTTGAACAGCCTTCAAAATCTCAAGACAACTCCGGTATGATCGCAGATACTCTTCAGGACTCCAGGCAAGAACAGATTTATTAATCTTGTCACAGCCATCCAGTGTACCTGCAATCCCGGGCTTATGGCATATATTAGGTGTCTCGCGAGCGACAAGCTCACTCATGGACGGACCTGCGATTGTATGAAAGCGTGCAACTCGGTCGAAATCAGCTTGGTTATTGATTGCTTGGACGCGTGCTGCTAATGGATGGAAGGAGGCTATGTGCACTTCGTACTCTCCGCGCTGGAGGAACTCTTCTGCTACTGCAAGTCCCACGTTTGATTGCCCGTGTTCGGGACTTGTGAGGAATAGGATAGTTTGGATTGCAGGCGTCATGGTTGTTGATTCAAGTGGGACTTCCATCGGCTGGGATTAAGAAATGATGGGCGTTTTGTAAAGTATTTATTCTGACTGCGTCTTAACGAGATTGCGTTGTCGTACTCTAGGCAGGGATATTAGCCGATGGATGGTTACTCAGGCGAAATGTAATTGGATACATATAGGGTTGTCATTCATTTCCTATGTACTCGAGAGGGGAAGGTAGTAGTTGAAGGGTGATTTTATGGCCAATTGCTGGTGAAGGCTGTATCCGAGTCTAGAAGCATTCTTGTGAAGTGGGAGAGCGCATGTCAACCGCATGTGTTTACCCCGGCTGTTGAGATGAACGTCCGAGAACGGAGTAATATTGATGCCATTGGATAGCCGAATTTGAACAAGGTTGGATGAACTAGCTATGTTAATGCGCGTCCCAAGTATCCAATCTTCCGCAGACAACACAGGGTGATACCGAGACCGACTAAGTTCATTACAAACAAAAACCAAAAGGCTGTTCGATAGCCGTTCATGATTGCCTCTGGGGACTCAACGAAAGACGCACTTTCACCAGATAGTGGACTTTGAGATGTGGTCACATCATATGAGATAAATCCAGCCAACGACATGCCAATAGACGATCCGACCATGGCAACAGTGCAAATGGCCCCTGTCGCCAAACCCTGAGTCTCAAAAGGCAGACCTTCAGCAATGATCCTGCTAGAAATAAGGATGATGGCGCCCGGCGCGATTGAACTAAGTGAAACGGCAAAGAATTCATATCCCCAGTACGATGACGTCGGGTTGAAGATTGCCATAATAAATGGCGAGAGACTCGACATGGTGATTGCAATCCCAAGGATTTTGTTGGCGCGAAGGCGCGGCAGGAACTTCCCTGTAATCAGACTGCCAAGTGCGCCAGCAACTGGAATTGGCAGGAATCTCCAAGAAGATTGAAGAACCGAGAGACCCTGTACTCGTTCAAATACCAGGACAACAAGTTGTGAGGATGAGTGAAAAGAGAAGTAGACGAAGAAAACAACCAGACTGATGCATATGAAATGCCCGTTCGTCCAAAGTGAATCTTGAACGCCTTGTGTACTGTCTCTTTCCCAGCAGTCATGCCAAAACAGAAGCGCCACTAGGAAAAGCCACCCAAGAGCGAGAGGGATAAAAAGACCTGATTTACAGATTTTTGCAACATGGTTTGTAATGACACTATCCGAGCCGTCAGTACAATGTGGTCTCTGAAAGTCAATGGGGGTAGCTGGGTATACATACGCCAACGCAAAGAACAAAAGTGTCACAAGAAAGCTGGCTAGCAAAGTCCCAAGCCAGTCAATATCTTCGTATAACTCTCGCCACGGAATACCCTTGGTTTCTTCAGCTTGTTTGGGAATGGTCCATATCGAGAGAAGGAAACCACATAGGCTGACGATTGCAGCACAATGGAAGCCTGATCGCCAGCCGGTAGTCACTGAAAGGAGCCCAGCGAGTATGATTCCCGCACCGTGGCCGACATATTGGCATGCAGTGATAGAGGAAAAAGCTAAATCACGCAACTTTCCAACATGCAGATTCTCTCTATGAATGCTCATGGAGGAAAGGAAGCACATTGAGTATGCCATGCCGGACACAATTCTAGAAGCAATGAGATGTGCACCACTTTGAGCATGCCCGGTAGCCAGGTAACAAACAGTCTGCAGAAAGCAACCTGATAGGAACACCCTTCGGCTGCCTAGGATATCTGTCAATGATCCCGCCAGAATGAAGGTGCAGCCCTGCGTAAGAAAGAACAAGGACATTGGCCTAACAGTTTGATCAGATTGAGATATTCATTGTAGCCTATGACCACTCTGGATAATAGTCATTGGGGTGGGGACTCACCATAATTCAACACCAGGGGTTAATTTGAGTTCTGACGATATTTGCGCGATATTGAGCATGAGCAATCCATTCAGGGCGCAGCAAATGAATAATGAGCAAATAGTGCATATAATAATGAGAACTCCGTGAGGGTCGACACGTTTCGTGTCTGACTGGGGCACGACGTCTAGGAGCGGCTGATATTCAGGGATTTGATAACGGAGATCGCGGTCGGACTCCCGAAGGGTCCCGCAGTCTGAGCCTAAATCTGATTGCATGTCCGGCATCATTTGTTTAATTGAGGCTAAGAAGATTGGAGAATTGCTGCACTGCGGGCATTTCGAGTGATCTGATGAACACCCATCCGGGGATATTCAGCAGTGGAAGAAGCAAAGAAGAGAACGAGCATGACACGAAAAAGCAATCAATCACCCGCCGGAAGCAGGGGGCTTGCAATAAAGGCAAATTAGAGACGTGTTGTGATTGACCAATTTGGATCCACTATAAGCGCGCTTATCATTTCCAGTGTTGTTATTGGCCAGATATCATTCCTGTGTCTCGATGGTTCTATTGGCATCGTTTAGGGGTCTTTTTTGGCGACCCTTGTAGCTAGGCATTGACTTCGATTAATATAGAGAAAATATTTGAAATCCCTAGGAAATCTTCGCGATATATATGCACCTCATCCTATATCCCGGCCAACCGGTCTATTTGTTTGTCAATTCCATGATCACCGTGAAAACACGTGAGGTTTGACAGAGATTTGCGTTTAGGTTACGTCTGAAAGTCCAGGAGCTAGTACTGATACAAGCCTAAGAACAACATTAGCCGTGATTGCTTCGTCTTCTACACGTTTTCAGTTATTTCAGTACATCATATATGAACTAGGACACTTGTTTCAGCTACAAAAGATCGTCGGCCAGAATCACTAAAGTTAATGCTAGCGTGTTCTAATAAATCCAGACTCCGATGAAGCAGCATAAATAGCCAACAGATGCATGGATGTGAGACCTCCCGGGCACATCTGTGGGGAGTGGAATACAACTTGAGGCTCAAGGTTAAGGGCAGGGTCACCCTTTAGGTCGAAAAGACAAGCACAGTGAAAAAAAAATGTGGAGAGCAGCTGTTCTCTCCGGTTTCCAAAGATTGTTGTTCTTTTCGGTCTGCGAGTGCCGGGCATTGAACCCTGGCGAGGACGGCGTTAGATACTGCCGCTAGGCTACGGCCGCCGTCCTCGGAGAATATTAAGCACGTGACTTAGAGGTACCGACCGCCTTTGGCGTCAAGGATTCCTATTGGTGTGATGTCGACAATAGTTTGCACTGTTTGCCTTGTTTGCAGTCATGAAGGCGGTATAGCAGGACGGGTTGCACGTCGTAGTTTTGCTCGCGTCTGTCTTCTCTTCTTTCCTCTCTAGATTGGTGTCTTCAAATGAATAGACCCTTTTCCTCTCTCTCAGGCTTGCCGCTCCTAATAAATATAGGAACACCCAAGGCATCGCATTTTATGATTTAAATGATCACATTCCTCTCCCGAACACCTAGATACGCAGAGTACTCTTAATCGGACCATTTAGTCTATATCAAAAAAGCTTCAATGGCAGCATAGTTTGTCCCTGGGGCAATAAACGTTCGACGAAGCTGGAATCCAGCCTGGCTCAGCATCGCCTCCCATTGCTTGAGAGTCCTTTCAGTTCCCCCGAGAGCCATCCTAAAACCCTAAGCATTTATACATTGGTCATATTTACAACTCTTACAAACTCGCCAAAGGCCCTTTCCTCACATAGATTTGAATGATGAATGATAAGTACTTTTTTGTCCATTCTCTTCCCCGAGATGGCTGCATATGACGTCATCACCGAAGGCATCCCATTCCCCTGTCCAGCGACCATCACCTAAACCTAAACAACGCTCAGTACTCGAAAGTTGGATGTCGATTATGAATCGAATGATGACTACAAAAACATATGAAAACGTCCTTTCCTTTTGGTTCGGCTCCAAATCATCCCGCGACTATCTCAAGCAAAAGTCATTCTGGTACGGCAGCCCAGCAGACGACGCCTACGTCCGCAAGAACCTAGGAACATCCTATGAGGCCGCAAGAAGTGGCGAACTGGACTCATGGACACGAGCGGGCGAGGGCGAAGGGGCCTTGGCTTTGATATTGCTGCTTGATCAAGTACCCCGAAACATCTTTCGGGGTAAGCCACAGGCATACGCTACAGACTCTAAAGCTGTCTCTGTTGCTCGAGTGGCTGTCGGAGAAGGCTGGGATAAGAACATGCCTAGTATTCAACGGCGATACATCTATTCGCCCTTCAATCATTCGGAAATCTTGGAGGATCAGGAGTTGTCCGTGAAATTGTTTACGGAGTTGGGTGATCCTTATCATTTGCAGTTTGCGACGGATTTCTATGAGCAGATTAAGCGTGATGGGCGGTTTAAGCACCGTGATCAGATTCTTGGACGGTGAAGATATTAGTGGCGGTCGGGCATTGAGTGTGCGCTCTATAGGTGGCCTATGAATTTCTTTTGGGCAATGTTAAAAGGGCCCCTCTTGTTGATATTTGGATCCCCTCTCTACCTGTCTAAGCCTAATTAGGAAAGGCTTAGTATGTGTATTTCATGGTGTATTTCCCTAGTAAAAATGAACAAAAGGGCGTAGAGGAAGACAATAGGCCTTGTAGGGTGTGTGAAGACTTGCACCTAGGTCAATACACGTATACTAACTAGGCCAAAAAGACCACTATATCAGCCTGACGGCTGACATGCCTAGGACCGATATATATATACTACTTAGTACGTATAATTATACGCGTGCGCACCCTAGACGCCACGCCGTGATAGTTAAATCTTATCTTCTATAAAAAGCACTCACTAAAGCAAAAACGTTTAGAAAGTAAGATGATATAGACTTACTCTTCGGTTTACGATAGGGGTCTAAAATGCGGTCCAAAAAATGGTCTAAAAAACGGTCCGTCCAATAGTGTTATAACATTTGCTGTGTCACTGTACTAAAAAAGACACCGTGAAATACATATACTACGCCTTCCCTAATTAGGCTTAGATAGGTAGAGAGGGGGTCCTTTTAACATTGCCCTTTCTTTTTCACGAGGTTTTTTTTTTTTGACTGTGTTTTGGCTATTTTACATATGGTCTCTGCATAAAATCCTAAAAAATGGTAATATAGAGTCGGAAGTGATACATTATTTCTCGATGGAATGTTCGGTGGTACTCGCGGTGGGGTTCAAAAGTAATCGCAGCATAAGCATCGATTTTTCCGATTTCACCCAGACACCAACACCAAATTGTCGAGATCAATGCCAAAATGTACGGATTCTACGACTCTACAGTCGCGAACATTCTGGTATTCGGGTGCTTCTACGCGATTCAGATAACAGTCCCCGCCGTCGTCCTCATCACCACGCGCAAAGGGTCCCCCTTACGTTATCTTTGCGTACCATGCATGGTATGGGTAGTCAGTCGCTTTATCAGACCCTTCGGCGCGTCCGGTAGTCCAGAATGGTGTCAGGCAATAACTCAGCTCATTATTGTGACTATGCAAGCCCTGAACTTTTTGCTGATCAATTCCATGGACAGCCAAGAGATTTCGCGTGGTGCGAAGGGTATTCAAACTTGTGGATCTCAATTAACTACGGCACTTCGCTTGCTTGGTCAGACTCGTGCCGTCAATACACCATGGCAGGTCAAAAATGTGCCTTCTCATCCGCAGTATTACACCCGACGGGGTATGGCGGTCCCACGAAGAGGGCGATTTCTTCTGCGGCAGTTTACAATTGCAGCATGGCAATATCTTGTTCTTGATATTGTTCAGACTATAGCACAGCAGCAGGCTTTGGAAAATGACCCTCAAGAACCAGTGTCGTCAGCAATTGAATGGACTGTGCCGGCGGGCCAATGGGTAGAACGGATCGGCACACATCTGTCTATCTGGTTTGTAGTGAATCGGTTGATTGGTGATCTGGCATACCGAGTTTTGTCAATCATTTTCGTGGGGATTGGATTTGACTCCCCCTCCGACTGGCCGCCAGCCTGGGGGAGAATGGGTGATGCGTTTACATTGCGCGATTTTTGGGGGTGAGCTTGATCAATTATACATCAGTGAGATGGCCTTTTTCTGACATATTATACAGGAAGTTCTGGCATCAATTTATGCGCCGGCCCTTTACATCTATTAGCAATTTTGTTTCGCGGGATGTCCTAAAATTGACGCGATCTTCATTGTTGGAGCGATATACAAATATTTCTATTGTTTTTCTCGTCTCTGCGGTATTCCACGTCATTGTTGATATGCTGCAGAGTATTCCGACGGAAAAGTCTGGTTCAATACCATTCTATCTCGCATTTGTGATCGGAATCATGTTGGAAGATGGCGTACAAGAGCTTTGGAAAAACTTGCAACCCCGAAACGAACCTGAAATGGAAGCAAAGAGGTCAACAAAAGACGTTGTACCCCTTTGGAAACGGTCTATTGGACTAGTATGGGTTATGCTATGGCTTGGAGTCACCTCGACCTGGTACTTTACGCCGATGATTCAAGCCACCACGGAAGACATGCGCATGGTTCCCGTCAGTGCCGCCAGATACATTGGTCTTGGTCCACTGACTGGGATCGTCGCGATCAGTGGTGCAATCATTGCATTCACATTCGAGATCGAGATATAAGTTGAATATAAAATTATCGGCACCACTATCAATCGCCCTATTTATTACCCGCTTCGTAGTCTTGGCGCAACCTGCAACATTCCAACCTCAACGGCGAAGAACGCGAACCTCACCAGGAGTTAACACCGCCCCTTTGCATGACCAAGCTTCTAAGAAACGGCCTGTCAAGGAGTGTAATAATTGTTCTCGGGCAAAAGGTACTTCCTGCCCTTCCTTTGGTTGAGTAGGGCTGATTACGCAGGTCAAATGCGACGGAGAGCGCTCTCGTTGCGAATTGTGTAGTCATCGGAATGTATCTCACATATGAGAGGAAACGTCAAAGCGCACCCAAAGGGCCATCGAATCAGTTAGACTATACTACCACATCGAGTTCACAAGGATGAGGACATGTAAAAATGGAGAAAGCGTCAAATTCAGATACTAAAGCCAACAATCATGCCGAAATATCATAAGATCCCACCTCCACAACCTATCTAATCAAATGAAGGCCTAAAGTCATATCTCACACAGCTATAATCGATGGAGCCACCAGCACCCCCATTGTTGCCTATGATATATGTTAGCTTTAGTGCAACGCAAAAAGATGAACGACCGATGGAACTTACACTTCTGCCAGTCATCCAACAAAAGCTGCCAACATGTGTTCCCAAGATTATGCGCCCCGCCAAAGGGATACCGTGCATCTTGTTCGTCTCCCTCGCAGTTCTCAATCCAGGACATGGTAAACTTAAACTGAGTACTTCCGTACGTCGACTTTAACTCAATTGGATCTGAACCTGCCTTCAACTTGGCCTTGTCGTCGGAAATTCCAGCACAGCCAGTAGCTGCCATACTGATCTCACTACCGCGAACATCTCCATGTGATCCAAACTGATCTGCTGTGTGGCATTTTCTTTCTTGAAGCCCGTGCTGAGTGAATGTATCAGGCTTTGGCTTAGGCTTGTCGGGTACAGTAATTTTGTAGCTGAAGCTTGCTCCACAGTCATCGACCTTGGCGCTGGCTTCTGGTTGGATGGAATGGCTGTCATAGCCCTGGCCTATCGTAGAATTAGTAAGCATGCAAGGGCAATTGATATCTAATGCGGCGGTGAGGGAGACATACATTTGCCAGTCATGGACTTGAAGGCTGCTTTGCAGTCAGTCTTGCAATTCTTCCCAGGATCGAGCTCAAAGTGGAACTTGTAGTTCTCATAAGCAGAGGACGACACATCTTTGGCTGTCAGGTCCTGACTGCGCTTCTTGCTCGTATCCCCGCTGCAGAACTTGTCGGCCAGCTTGCTCATAAACGAGACATCGACTGAAACGGCCTTGCTGTAGTCCGTGCTAGAGCATTTCACTTCTGGGTCCTTCGGCTTCTCAGCCTCCTCGTCCTGTTTCTTCATGCTATCAACCAATTTGGTTAAAACCTTCTCAAAGCTTTCGACCTCGGACTTTGTCCCTAAGGTGTAGATTTCCGACGTAAGCTCATAGCATTCACAGCCCTCATTCGTGCCCTGTGTCAAGTCAATACCAAGTCAGAAAATCAAAATAGAGTTTCAAGGCGAGGAGCCATACAGTTGTGCATTTGTTATTTTTTCCTTTGCAAGTATCATCACCGCAAACGAGCACCTCCTTCTCCGGCTTAGGACATTCTGCCTTACATTTGCAGTCCTTGTAGTGGCCCTAGCTTCCTGTTAGCAGCTATCCAGCAATTTAAAAGCGTATTAAGAGCACGAACCACGGTACAAGACCCCTTGTCCCCTTTGCAGTCATCTGCTGAGCAATCGGGCTTCTTGTCATCCGCAGGGCATTCCTCCCTACAGGGACATCCAGCTTGATCACCTACGGTACACCAACCATCCAGAGGTTTGCAGTCCTTGCAACTGTTCTTGGTGTAATCTTCATTACACACGTTCTTCGGATTTGGAACTGCTGCAGGAGGGGCGATGAAGCCTACTGGCGGGGGTGGGAATGGAATAATAAGTGGTAGACCGGAGCTATAAAAGATATGGTATTAGTTGGACCGACATGCGTAAGAAGGCAAATTGTGTTCTTACCCTGGCTTGCCTGTCTCCTCCGACACACATTCGCAAGTTAGACCACAGCCTTCCTTGTGCCATTGCTTGCATCGATAATAATCGGACATCCACCCCCGCCCCTTCTCATTGTCACAGAACCCTTTCTTTTTGCTGTCTCCTCCACATGTAGAACATTTTTCGGGAGGGCTAGGCAGTGTTAGCTCAACTGCCGTCAGGGTAAAGAAGCCTCTGATGTCTTCTGGGGAGTTAGTGACGTACTTTGGACAGGTAGCGAAAACATATTGATCATTGAATCCTCCTCCGCGCTGTTCGATTATGGACCCCGGCCCTGTAGAGTCCTTGGGAATAGCCCATACAAGCTGGCATGCTAAGGCAAGAGCCAAGAGAGAATGTTTAAGCTGAACCATCTCTCTGATAATGAAAAGGAAACAGGTGACTGTCAGTAGAAAGGTAGTGAGTTAAGCCGGTAGGTCTAAATGGGAGCAGTTATCGAAGATATATATACCCCTCGTGGGGAATATGATGGAATGAAATCTCCAAGTTAAACTCCGAGAATATCCTCTGCATTGTTGGACATGTTGAGCTGAGACATGACAGTGGTAGTGCAAGGCGTTTTTGCCCCATTTTGTCAGGAAGGAGTGCAGGGCTACCAGCAGCCCCCGAACCCTGTCACATCTTAGACCCTTGTATTCAGATTTGAGCATGAGGAATTTCAGAACTGTCTCTATGCAATGGAACCCACCAAATTTAGACGTTGGAGGAGGCGGAAGTAAGCCACAGCCACACGGCTAAGGTTTGGCCCGTGCAGGACGAGCCTGTCAGCATTTAGTGTTCGCGCTATAAAACATCTGGATCCAATCAAGGCACTTTGGCTCTAATCGGGGCGAAGAAAGGATTTTCCGCCCGCTGAAAATGGCTTGGACCCTGCGGCTCAGCACTGGTGGGCTGAATTATCTAGATAAAAAGCGTACTATTCTAAGCTCCTTGTAGCCCTGGTCAAATAAACTTGGTGGAGGATGATGCAGGGTCCATTTTCCCCTCTCACGAGTTTAATTCCTACATAGCAAACGTCAGTCCCGGAGCGTGACCCCGAGTGCTGGCGCCATGAAGACACAACTAGGCCCTCCCTCTCAGAGCTTGGCCTGTATGTAGCCCGGCAAAAGAAAACGCGGCAAATATAGTACAGCATATTACTTTAGTCGCCTGTGTAGATATAGTGCTAGATGATGGTAGTGTGAAAACCCCTCGCCCGCTAGTTACATTTCCGAGTTCGTTTTCGGATAAGCGATGTTGCTGGCCCCCGAACAATTCTCTCCTTTCCGAAAATACTATTTTTGGCGTGAATGAAGTTTCAAAATGAGTTGATGAGCCTGCGTTAGGGTGAAGTAGCCCCAAAATCTCAGCTGCCATCATACTGCAACAAACTCGAACCCGGCCCCAAACAAATGCCTCATGTTAATCTAGATTAAACTGATGGTCATACGCAAATACATGGTGGCTGTTTGTGCCTAAGTCAATACCACCACTGCTTTGGGGGCTATCCCAAGGCTGATATTCCTGATCCAACTCATTTTGTGAGGTATGTCTCAAGAGCTAGGGACCAAAGTCCGTAACACATCCCAAAGACTTAAAAGCTGTCAGTATCCCCTTCAACTACCTTTCCAACTTCAATTTTTAATCACAATGGCTACAATGGCGTGGACCAAGGTCGTATTCCTTCTTCCTTTCTTTTGGCTGCAGCTCGCTTGTGTACATTCCTATAACATTGACAAATCATGCGATTGTTAGTATTAGACCTCCCGGAATTTGGAACATGCTAATATGTGAAATAGCGATCAAATCCAAGTTGGAAACAGCCGTCGAAAAATCGATGGCCCTGGCTAAGCTTTCCTTTGACGAATTGGGCAGAGATGACCCCAATGTCAAGGAGCTTAGAGGGTGGTTCTTCCTCGACAAGAATATTGATCAAGTGAAAAGTACATTTTGAAGCCATTGAAGGAAATGCATACATTGACCTAATCCTCCATCTCACAGTGGTCTATCACAACGTGCAAGAGTACGGAACACTCAACAAAGCCGACACGGATGAAGTGATGCAACCAGTAAGTTATTCCCAGAAGCTCCAAATCAAGGACAAGCTCCAGCTCACAAATCAAGACCATCTACTGTGACCTTTCTCGTTATGAAGAGACAACGAGGAAGACGAAAGATGGAAAAGACGAGCCAGCCCTCTTTGACAAGGAGAGAAAAACAGTTTCAGGTTTGAGCAAAGAGTATAAAGGTTGCAAGACTGGCGACACGGTGGCCTACAGGAGCAGAACTGAAAGGTTGTCGGATAAGAAGATGCTTCACAACGATATTCAAATCTGCCCTTGGTATCTTGCTGTCCTTGGCCACTCGCCTTTCACAAACCTCGATGACCTTCCTGATCGCACGGGCAAACCAAGCTATGACCCTACTCGGGCTTTCTCTAACAGTGAGCCTAAGGCAAATGTATTTGCTAGTCGGCTCGACGTTACTCTATTACACGAGGTCAGAACCCCTAGCCCCTGCTCCCTTTGGACGGGTTTGAGCCATGGGCGAACTTGTATATGCTAACTGAGTTATATTAGTTTACACATGCATTGCCGGACTATGCGGGATCCACCTTGGATCATGCCTATCAGTGGACTGATTGCACCGCTGTAGGGAATAGGGAGGTAGGGTGCATGAATGCGGATTCATATTCGTTTTTCGCCACAGGTGAGCCTAGTCCTATTTTCATTCTTAGACTGTTTACTAATGGTTTCCAGGTGTGGATATGATCAAGGTCCGCAGGTTCAAATTTACCAAGGAGGGTGGTGCTCAGAAGATCAACAAGGCGACAAAGCGAGCTGAACAATTGGTTATGAAGCCTTGGAATGCATGATGGTTGGAATTTGGTTCAAGTCAAGGGTTTTGTTAAGATCGTGATTATGTTTATTTCACTCAACTGGCAATTAAATGGCAAGATTTGGAGCTGTCTATAGTATGGAATTCCTAGTGCGCCAATGATTGCTGTAAAAGCATGCCTGTCATCGCCGTCTAACAGCTTTAGGAAAATTAAAGGGACCCTTCTTTGTCATCTCTGTTATCCTTTTACGTTTATTCGCCTTAAAGTCTTTGTTTTGAATTGCTCGAAAGCCCGCAGCCTTAACGAAAACACAGAAATTATTCAAATCAATCAATACTATTGACAGGCACAAAATCAACACTTTCATCCTGATAATTACTCCAACCATAAGATGCCAGAGTTATCCAAGACCCAATCCAGTCATGAGCTTCCCAAAGAACATGTCACGGTTTCCACCACCAGCTCGGGTTTGTCAGGTATGGGATCGTCATACCTCGTTATCTGAAACGGCGCACCAAGAAGCAAGCTTTCAGAACATTCATTTGCCGGCCATGTTCCCTCGACTTTGAAATCTTGTATCCAACTAAGTTCCATGAGTGGCGCAAATAGCCTTGCCTCCTGGTCGGCAGTCATCATATTCCCTGACTCTTGGTCCATCTTCACCCAGGCTTGGACATGCAAAAGCCCCTTCATACATTTTACCACATTCCACAAGCTCGTCCATTGATCAAACCACTCCTCATCGAGGATTTGAATCCGACGATCAAGGCAAGCATGTAAGAACGAGATTTCAAGCGATCGAATCGCATGGAAGCTCCGAGGCGGTAGGGCAGATCTAATATCTGAAAGAATCCGAAAATCCGATGAGTCCATAATTTGGAGATGAATACTACTGTGAGACCATAGGATATCCACGGACTCGGAATAACTGTGTAGATTCTGTCAGTATATAGGATTAGGAATCAAGCAGAAATGAGAACATACATCTGGCGACAAGCCAAGAGAATCGGAAGTCGCTTCTGGCTTGATGAATCTTTGTCATGTGTTACACATTCACACCACGAGCCGTCCTGGATTTTGTATGACAAAAAGTGATATTTTCGGCCTTTGGAAGGACAAACACAATGTCGTAATTTTGGGCCTCCGGTAAGCATAAATGCAATTACCTTGTCTCCGAATATGAGTTCATAGATTTGACATCGAATCTCCACAGGGAGTTTCACCAAAAATGCGCTGTCGTTTTGTTTGGTTGTTGAGGTCACGTCCATGGTGAGTTAGTTGCACCAGAGATAATCCTGGGATGTCGCCTAATGAAGCCTCGGATGCCCTTGAAGCTTTGTCTTCCAGAAAAGACAGCGGCTGAAAGTATTTGCGATGGAAGCTATCACGATTCGAGGCAGGTCCAGCTCTCTAGGTTGACACGTATGTAGTTGATGGGGTAAGAAAGTTATGAACCATCCGACGATCCAAATATGGCGACACCACGTGACTACGGGGCTGAATGGGGTTTCCTGGAGTTTAAATATCAAATAAGATGGCCTTGGGTGAGTATATTTAGACAGAGTATTTTAAGAGAACACCTCGCTCATTCCAGGGCGGGTTGATGGTAGTGGGGTAATTGGGGGCGGATTCACAGCGGAATGTACTGAAGATATCGGAGCGACATTGGCTGTATGCATGAATACTTGCCTAATAGAAATGATTTAGCCAAACAGGACTTCGCTTTGGCTCGCTCAAAGCGACGATACCGGATAATCGGATTTATCCAATAAAGCCTAAGTTCACGGCGTAGCCGAGGGGCCGCTGACAGAAATGATATTATTAGGAGTTCTGACTTGTTTCTAGGCATCTTTGCGGGCTCTCAGACATTTCTGGGGTTGATTTTATGTATATTTACTATCACAAGTTATTGTTTGCTCGAGGAAATGCGATTAAGGTGATGTCGCGAATCCGGTTTCACGGGGCTCGTGCACAGAAGAGCCGCATGTTGTCAGCATCCCTTTTCCTTCACTTTCATTGCCGCACTGCTCAAGAGGATCGCTATTGAATTGAGTCAAAATGTCCAGAACCTCGATCATAGCATGTGACCATTCGTCTCTCTGCTTTTCGTCCTCCCCACATGCGACGGTGGCAGGTTTTAAAGGTCCAACCAAACGACAACGTGTCGCCGCCACGAAATCACAAAACAAAGTCTCTGATGATCCAAATGACAAATTTCTCGAAGAAGATGATCGAGCATTCCCTGCTCCTTTACTCCTTCCGGGGGATGATCTATCCGAGGATCCAGATTACCCTGCGCAGAGCTTCCAAGAATGGGTTGACGATGAAGACCGCAATCCGGTGACTCCCAAACAGAACAAAATTTATCTTTGTTCAATTCCAGAAGCCTATGATGGTGTTGGGTTTCTCCGGGAATGGAGACCACAAAAGCGTCTCGAAGCTGTGAATGAACAGTATCAGCCACCAAGTCCACTCCTCGTACAGAGCTATCTGGCTGCTTTCTATCACGGTTTGTCTGTCAGTATGACACAGTCA